GGGGGGGACATCAGAAAGGACATTGCCACGATGGTGAGATTCGAAATTTTGGCCCGATGTGTCGTCCCCCACGCGAGAGGCCGTCTGGCTGGAGTCGACTAAGGAAGACAAAGGAGTCGCTCCCCTCCCCCTTCTCTCCGTTTCGTTGACTTGCCTTGGCGACGGTTTTTCTTCGGCATACGTGATGAGAGAGGCGTTTGGTCGTTATAGAGGCGCCTCCCCGTGCGGAGAGCGGCAGGCCGGCGACAGGCGGACCGGTACGCGCCCCGCCCGCCCGACCCGTCCCAAAACGCACCTTTCATACCGGTCGATATGTCTTTTTTAGACGGAGACTCTAATAGACAGAAAGTAGCCCTACAGGCTCGGGTCCGGGTGAGCCTGGCATTCAGCCGGTTCGTCTGCTCATCTCAATCGTATCGGACGGAAAGAGAGAAAAAGTAAATGAGGAGCGGCCGCGAAGGGGACGACGGAAGAAAGAATAGGCGTCGCACGGTAGCCTCACGTTTGTTGATACTCTACGCCGTAAAACGCAGGGAACACGTCGGCGTTTGTTGGCTTTGTCAGTTATTGAGCCAGGCAAACTGTAACTTAAAAAGCTGTCAGTTTCTTGCTAATCAACAGATCAGACCGTCGAACATGCTCGAACCAAAGGATGTCCACCGGAGTGCACAGACAGACTCCAACAACGACGCCGTCAGAGCTGGTTCAAAAGACCCCACACGCAAACAGCATACTATGGTACACCTAGAGCGCTGGGAGCTGCATCACCGGGATGCATGGCCATGGGCCAGGTGCTTTACCTGGCTAGTGGCACGCGCCGTGCTGGGCTGGCCGGCCCGCCGGACACCCGTGCCGTGCGGGGTAGTCTACCTGGCTAGTGGCAGGCACCGTTCTGGGCTGGCCGGCCCGCCCTACACCCGTGCCGTGCGGGGTGGCCTACCTGGCTAGTGGCAGGCGCCGTGCTGGGCTGGCCGGCCCGCACTACACCCGTGCCGTGGGGGGTCACCTACTTGACTAGTGGCGAGCCCATCCAATAACTGCCTTATTGAGTACTGAACGATCTTCGATCGGGGCGGTTGTACGTTATTAGCACTTTGTTTAGGTTTGAGCTAGACAAAAGTTGGTGTATGGTTGATGGCAGTGCTCTCTTACAGCGTCTCTATGGGGCTCTCTGCGCCCCTCCTGCCCGACCCGCCCTCGTCACGAAGCCGACCTTTTGGGTCTGCTGCTGCCGCTCTGCGTGTGCACCCCAGATGCAGCGGCCCAGCACCAGCCCGGCTGAGGGAGCAGGTCTATTTAGTCGGCCAGTCCTGGTGGTGGCCATGCACACTGGCACAAAAACGAAAGTAAACAAACACCACAAATCTGACGTCCCGATAAATGGAGTACATGTTGGCCCGCCAGCGGGTCGGCCTCTCGCCTCTGACGAGGCATGCGGCACGAGTCCTATAGGTGAGCGTGGCCGACTGTAGCCAGGACCGAGGCCCTGACCAAGAAGAGGTGTCCACAACTACGGTTATTGACGCTTCAAACAAAAAAAAAAAAAAAAGTTCTCACTATTCCAGTTTATTTAAATCATCGAATTAATAATCACGATCAATCATATTTACTAGTGTTGCCAACATTTAAATCACTATCCACGAAATGTTCAACTTGTGTGTATTTATTCACAGTAACCGAGATTTTCGAGTTATTCTGGGTCTTTCGGCCCTGACCGCCACCAACAGCGCTAACGGTCCATATCAAAACCCAGCCCGGGCCAGGGGGCCTGCCGGGCAGACGGTCAGTGAGAGGAAAGCCTG